AATAAATTCCTGAGCTGAAAGGATAAATGGTTGCTAAATTATCTCAAGGAATGAAGAAGCATAACAACACAGGTCTACCATTCATTTACTGTGAGTAAGTTATTTTCTCCTTTCACTTTAATCCAATAGGGTAAGGATTTACCTATTGGGAAGATGAAAGACACAAAAAACCTTATGAGAAGTTCTTTCTGGCAAAATAAAGTGAAGAGTGAATGCTGAGAATACAACAGTGAACCAAATACCAGTGAGAGTAGTTGCTGAGGAGAGAGCTGAGGTCGAGGGAAGGTGGGTATCTCCTCTTGGGCAGGTACCTGTGCGTGCAGCATCTCCATTTCTGTCTGCCCTTACTCTTATACCTACCAGAGAAAAAGTGAACATTACAAGGACAGGCACCAGCCCATTTAGGTGAGGATAGAAGGGGCAACTGAAATCCTAGTCTTCATACTAATCTTGGTATCTGGGGTCAGATGGAATTCTGAGAATTGAAAACCTGCAGTATGTAAGTAGAAAAAAGAAAAAATGCAGGGGGTCTTTCTGGGGCTTATTTTTCCCCAAAAAAGTTAAAATATTGTACATATCTTCTAGTAATTTTGTTCTGATTTTATTCCACTTCTCTAAATCTAGTGTGTAGTTTTCAGTTCTTTATGGGGATCCTATTGGGATATCCTACTCAGGTGCTTGGCCATCCCCCATAAATGCCCAATGCTCCAAATGATGCTTCCCCTTCAGAGTTAGAGTCAGAATGTAGATTGTGTCATTTATGTGGATATTCAATTACAGTAATTAACATTAACTTATTGAAAATTGATTTAACAATGGGGGAGGGGGTTCTTTGCACGTTTGCACTAGCTGTAACACTAATGAACGGATAGCCAGGCTCCAGGACACATGAATGGAGGGAAGGCATTTCTCAAGGTTCTGGCCTCTCCCGGACTCTGTACCTCTTGCTTTACTAATCTAGTTTTGGAATGCTTCACCTAAGCTTCATCTGCCCACCATTTTGAACTCTTGTAAATATTTATATTTCAGTGGGATTTAGTGACAAGCATAGGGGCAAGCATATTGTCAAATATTCAAATCACAAATCTGAAAATAGATAATTTCTTCATTTTATATCAATATTGACTATTAATTTATTCACACATTACAGGCCTCAGCTTTCAGAAATGGTGGGTATTTTATCATACATATTTAATAAATATATTTTTGCTAAAAATACAGGAGAGAGCATAGTAGAATATTTTAAAGTAAAATAAAATAAGCTGGAGCCATTGTTTTTGTCCTCTGTACCTTTACAAATAACTCATTTCTTTAAGTGCATTGTGTATATTTTTTTTTGACAGGCAGAGTGGACAGTGAGAGAGAGACAGAGAGAAAGGTCTTCCTTTGCCGTTGGTTCACCCTACAATGGCCACCGCGGCTGGTGTGCTGCGGCGGGTGCACCGCGCTGATCCAAAGGCAGGAGCCAGGTACTTATCATGGTCTCCCATGGGGTGCAGGGCCCAAGCACTTGGGCCATCCTCCACTGCACTCCCTGGCCACAGCAGAGAGCTGGCCTGGAAGAGGGGCAACTGGGACAGAATCCGGCGCCCTGACCGGGACTAGAACCCAGTGTGCTGGCGCTGCAGGTGGAGGATTAGCCTAGTGAGCCGCGGTGCTGACCATTGTGTATATTATATATTAGAAATGTTCAGTAAATGATGCTAAACACACTCACATATTATATACATTAATATATTAAAACCCACAACCATTGTTTATGTGATGAGGGGAATAGAGTTTTATGCAGTCCTCAGAATAATGTTTTTCCTGTCTTAACTTAGTATATATTTGAACTTTTTATAATGTGTCATAGATTAGGAAAATTTAATTCAATAGTGGTCTTTATAAAAACTATTCACACTTGCCAGCACCACGGCTCAATAGGCTAATCCTCCACCTGCGGTGCCGGCACACCGGGTTCTAGTCCCAGTCAAGGCGCAGGATTCTGTCCCGGTTGCTCCTCTTCCAGGCCAGCTCTCTGCTGTGGCCAGGGAGTGCAGTGGAGGATGGCCCAGGTTCTTGGGCCCTGCACCCCATGGGAGACCAGGAGAAGCACCTGGCTCCCAGCTTCGGATCAGCGCGGTGTGCCGGCCACAGCGCGCCATCCATGGCAGCCATTGTAGGGTGAACCAATGGCAAAGGAAGACCTTTCTCTACCTCACTGTCCACTCTGCCTGTCAAAAAAAAAAAAAAAAAAACTATTCACACACACTTCTACATCACATGTCCACATATTCATGTAAAGGCCAACAACCAAGGCTCAGGAACATTTGTTGGGTACTTTCTCTACCCCTGGTTTAGAAGGCACTTGTACACAAACAAGTGAATAGAGAAACAGTATGCATTATTGGGAGATCTGAAAATCATTTTAGAAAAGACCATTATAGTAACATATATATGTATATATACACATATACATGCATGTGTATGTTTCATGTATGTATATATATGTGTATATATGTATACATGTGTGTGTGTGTATATATATATATATATATACACACACAAAGGTGTTTATTCTGAGTCTCCTAAAGTTCAGAAACAAAGTTAGGAAGTTCCAAATTCATTGCCCAAAGTGAGGCGATGAATCATCTTAGTGGGGTTTTCAAAGGAGGCTTGAAATATTGACTTAATAACCCTTAGCTGATCATTACCTTTAGTTTATAAAAGGTGACATAGAGACCAAGATAAGGAATGTTGAGAATTTGAGAATGGTTTTTCCCTTGAAAGATGGTCAAACAATGTGAACTCATGACTTTCACCTGCCCAAGAGGGAGGATGGGGTCTGTCCCCTCTTTATAGGTACAGGGGACTTCAGTGATCTCAGAGAGATTAAGTGATTCTCTTATAGCTTGAGTAACATTGAACTTGTGTCTGACACAGGCTTGAGGATCAAGAAAGAGGCCATATCTAGAACTGCTTGTTTTCATACAATTCAAAGATAGGTAGCTGTGGTTGGGAGAGTCTGCATGGTAATATATTTATTAGCAGGAATATTTCCCATGAGCCCACTGTGAATTCTCTTGAGGAACTTACATGTGGTTATCGTAGATACTTCTCAAGAGAATTATCTAGAAGTTAGGCTACCTCTGCCAATAGGTAGGGTTAATGGAGGTGAAAGAGACCAGCTTGGGGAGATACATTTGTGCTGGCATGGGAAGGACAGGTGAGATCCCAGCAACTTAGAAGAGAAGCTATCAAGGCACTCCACAGTGCACCTGATGAGAGGAGTCAGCTCTAAATTTCAACAGCCAGATGCAACCCCGAGAAGATGACAAGGGTGACAATAAAGTAATGCCATCTCTGTGCATCCACACCTCCTTGGCCGTGAGCATGCATGCATGGGTACACATACACACACACACACACACACTCATACACACACACACTATGCCCTCAGAGAAGCCAAGAGCCACAAGTAAAGATTTTTTTAACTCATAAAATAATAGGATACATCAGGAATGGGAAGAAAGAAATGACTTGAAAAAAAAAATGTATGTCTTAGAACAAATTTAAAATAAGAAAATCCTATAAATCAGTTAGCCAGCATGTGAAACAATTGCTGTCCCATCATCTTTTCACATCCATCATAAAAATCTTATATTTTTTGAAAACAGAAAACTATATAGAGTACCTAAAAATTTAATGATGATAATAAAATAAATAATGGATTTTTTCCTGCTAATCAATTCTCTCACTGAAAATCAGAATTTAGAAGACCAATGAATTTTGGTAAGCATTACAAAAAGAAGCCTGCAGTAAGTTTTTAATGGAATCACTATCTTCTGAGGAATCTTTATCCGCGTATGGGAGCAGAGCAACACCATTTACACTGGGATCTGTTTTTATACCCCCAGCAAAAACCTGGGGAGAAGATGAGGCAAATGCCCTTTGGAAAAGGTCAGGCCGACCATAGCATGTGTTTGTCCTTGCCCTAGCTTCCTGTTTAGTTGCACAAGAGCACTGTCTCCTCCTCAGTAGCAAATGCAAGTGATTGTCCTTGCCTCTGAGAGAGCAGCTTTTTGATTCAACCATGACTGTTTGGCCCATCCAATTCAATTCTGTGTGATTGGGCACCGCTCATTGATGGGTCAATTGCAGACTCAGACCTTCAGTATGTATCACACATTTTAACAGACTGATTTTTAGGTTGTTGCAATAATATGATTATTAAGAGTGGATAAGCATGCAACTCATTTTCAAATAATCCTATTATTTGGGAAATTTAGTGTTTATATTCCTCGATAGAAGATCTTGCATTTGGCTGCCCTTTCAAGTTGCTGGATGGGTTTAATTGATGATGAAGAACCAGTCTCTAAATACATGTGTATGTGTGTGCATGCATGTAAAAACATGTGAATGTGTATATCTATATATTCATTTCTATCCTAAAAAGTTCATGAAAAATGTAATTAAAAGATAACTTTATTTTGGCACAAAAAGATTTTGAAATCTGTGCATAGTTTTTTAGAATCACAGTTCCCACTTTTTAAGGCCCCCTCATATGCATTTGTGTGTGTGTGTGTGTGCAGAAAGTTCTTTGTTACCTCTTAACTTCATGAGCCATATGCATATTTTTTCTGCTCCATATCCAAAATAATATTTTAAAGTAAAATGTTTGGGGGCTGGTATCATCACATAGAAGGTAAAGCTGCTGCCAGAGATACCAGCATCCCAAATGTAATCAGTTCTTGTCCTGGCTGCTCCACTTCCTATCTAGCTCTCTGCTAATGGCCTGGGAAAACAGTGGAACATGGCTCAAGTATTTGGGCCACAATCACCCAGGGGAGAGATTCTGATGAAGCTCCTGGCTTCGCCCTGGCCCAGGCTGACTGTTGCAGCCATCTGGGAAGTGAACCAGCATATGGAAGATCTCTCTCTCTGAAGATTGTTATATAACTTTTATTTGGAAAAATACCCATTCTTTTAAAAAATGTTTTAAAATTACTTGTCTGCATTAAATTTGGGTAGCCACCTTGTTTATCATTCTAATTATAATGCTCTGGCTTGGGATAAAAAAGATGATCTAAATTTTAATAAAAATAGTAAATCTGGCATTGTTAATTCATAACTTATTAATTTGAACATACAGCTCTAGAGTTTTATTATCAACAGCTGCAAAAACATATTTGCTAAGCACTTTGATAAATGAAGTCAGCAATGTTGCAGTAGAGAAAGTACCTACATGAGCTTTACCAGGGCTGGCATTGTGATGCAATGGGTTACCCTGCAGCTTGCAATGCCAATATCCCATATCAGAGTGCTTGTTGGTGTTCTGGGTGATCTGCTTCCAACCCAGGTCCCTACTAAAGGCACCAAGAAGTCAGTGGAAAATGGCCCAAGTGCTTGGATTCCTGATAGGCACATGGGAAACCTAGATGGACTTCCAGGCTTCTTTCTGTATCTCCTCTCTCTGTCACTCTGCCATTCAAATAAGTAAATCTCTTTTTTTTTTTCCCACAACAAAGATAAACTAAGATGTATTTCATTAACCATTAGGACACAATAATATGTGTATCTCAAAATTATGAGTTATTTCAGAGACACCAATACAAGTCACACAGTTAAGAGAAGGGAGGGGGTCCAGCATACTGGAAGGCATACCCGTATTATACATCAAAGTCAATGGCAATGATTCAGGGCTTCACTATTTATTGTCTGATTACATCCAAAAAGAAATGTTCCTTGGACAACAGCCTCCCTTAATCATTAAAATAGGTCTGTAAGTTTGATATTTAGAAACAATAATGAATAAATAAATCAAATCAGGAAGTCACTAGAGTGGCAAAAATCTGACTTTCTGGGTAGTTAGAATCTTCCAAGTCGAGCAATCCAAGCATTTATCTGGTGACTGAGCACCTAGCACTTCTAGGTATGGGCTCTCTGTGCAACACAAACCTGAGGAAGTATAAGTGCCTTTTGCTCGCAATGAGCTTGGATGAGTGAAGTATAAACGTGATATTGAACTAAAACAACTTAAATATCCATTGAAAAGGCTTCTAAAAATAGTGTCTCAAGAGAGTACATTATCAACTGCCAAAATAATTAAACAACCCAATTGTTCTCTTCAGAGGATGCCGATCAATCTCTTCCATAGATTGCTTTCTGGAGCAGAGTGTCAGACACATTCTTTAAAACCTGTGGTATATACTTCTTATTTTTTAAAGATTTTTTATTTATTTATTTGAGAGGTAGAGTTACAGACAGTGAGAGGGAGAAATAGAAGGGTCTTCCTTCCATTGGTTCACTCCCCAAATGGCCACAGCAGCTAGAGCTGTGCCGATCTGAAGCCAGGAGCCAGGTGCTTCCTCCTGGTCTCCCACGTGGGTGCAGGGGCCCAAGCACTTGGGCCATCCTCCGCTGCTTTCCCAGGCCATAGCAGAGAGCTGGACTGGAAGAGGAGCAGTCAGGACTAGAACCGGCGCCCATATGGGATGCCGGCACCGCAGGTGGAGGATTAACCTACTGTGCCATGGCGCTGGCCCCGGTATATACTTTTTAATAATTCAACTCAGCTTTCTCAATTTAGATGTTTTGGTGACAAGTGTACATAGGCAATTTCTTAAGATATGAAAATGTGTCTAAACAGGAGAAGAAATCTGTTTAAAAAATATTGAAGCCTAATTTTTGTGGGTTACAGGTTAAATCCAAGTTTTTCAAGTACCTCACTGTACTAAATAATTTTCAGCAATGCTATGAACTGGTGGTGGGAGGGTACATTTTTGTTCCTCTAGTCAGGGCTGGAGTATCATCTACCCTCTTTTTTCTCTTCTTCTAATTAATGAATTAGAATGAAACAGCTCCCTTCCCAATTGTCCTGTCTCCCCCATCATTCTTCATGTCAAAAAGGAAATTTCCTGGATTTCCTTGGAGTAAAGTTCTATTGCTACTTCCTGTATTGTGTTAATTTCTCCTCTAATATCTCTTTTAAACATTCCTGCAACATGACATTTTCGAATGTAATGGTTATGAGTTTTTCACTTTAGTGCAAAGGAATCTGGGAGGTCAAGACTATAATTGGATCATATAGGTTACTGTTATGTGTAACTCAATTACTAAGGTTATCTTCTGAGCTTTGCACAGTAAATCTCCAGTCAAAACCCTGTCCTCCTATCGTCTGAATGTTGACAGAAATGTAATACCACCTACACTGAGGCAAAAGCTAAGGCTGAAAAGTGAAGAAGGGATCTCCATAAAAAATAAAAGAGGTTATTAAAAATGCATCTTACATATGGGGTTCCAGACTAGGGCCGACAAGAGCTCTAGCAAGAACTGTAACAAGGATTTTCCCACAGAGAATAACAAAAAAGGCATTTTCATATTTATAAATTAATGGGGAGCTGAAGTTGAAACGTGTGTGACAATATTCTTTTGCTATTCTTCAGGACTTAACCCTTCAGGTGTCTCACTTAGCTTTCTGGTTTATCAGCCAGGCTTGTGGTAATACGTAAACGTTTTGGGTGGAGTATGGTCCGTTAGGCTGCTGGGTGGTCCGCATTCGCCTGAGAGAGAGAAGACAAAATGGAATGGGTAAGACTCAAAGTGGCATTACTGTGGTTTGCAGTCACACTTCTATCTATTGTGTTCATAAATAACTCTTTTGTGAATTCACTTTTAACCCACACTTTCAACAATTCAGCTCTGTTAAATTAAGACTGGAGAAATTATCCTTTAAAACACACATATCACTCTATAATTTTAGAGATGTAAAGAATAATAGAGATTGTCTAGTACCTCTCTATAAACATAAACTGGATGATAAAATTCAGATCTAGAGAGATAATGATCACAAAGAAAGTGCCAACTTTGAGCTTAGGCAAAAGTTACCTAGCTCCAGATTCAGAGCTCATTCTTACTTTGCCCTCAATATACTCACGGCTTCCTTTTCTCATAGTATCAAATTATAAAAACTCCAATAGTTGCTATAGAAGAACTTCACTATTATAGCCTGGATTGACACAGACATTTTAGTATATTTTAAATAAAGTAATAGAGTAATAAAACTAGATGTGAACAGTCATACTTTAATCATTAAAAACAGGTTTTTGACTTAGTCCTATAATAGATTTATCTGAGATCAAACCTGAAAATTGTAATTAACGGATAGAGTAGTAATAAATGCTTTTCTTAAAATTTTTATGTACTTTCCCCCCCCTGGTCCTGGGATGGGGGCAGGAACTTGGTGAACACAAATAGGGTTTTTTTCCCCCTAGCATTAGTGACATTTTTATTTTTAATTTTTGAATAAATATACATTTATTTTGGTGTAAAAATTTTGAAATCCATGCATAATTTTTCCATGATATCCATTTCCAGGAATTTTATACCATCTGATCGTTTATTTTTTCATGTTAATGTGATGTTAATATAAAGAGAACAGATTCAATACAGTTCATAGAGTTTTAAAAATATAATGATATTCCCTTCTAAAAAGGAAAACTGGATTACATTTAAACTTTATTAATTTATGATAAATTATGTAATAAATTTCCCCAACAATTTTTTAAAATATTATCGATTAAGTCATTAAGTCAAGCTATGCTATATTTTCTCTTTTTTAATTTTTTTTAGATTTTTTAAGTTAAACATATTTCATGTATTTCGTATATCCAGATTTAGGAGCATAGTAATAATTCCCACCGTACCCTGCTCCATCCACACTCCCATCCTCCATCCTCCTTCCTTCCTTTAACTTTTACAATGATCTATTTCATTATATTTTATAATTATAAGATTAACCCTTCATTAAAGAATTAAAAAACAGTAAGATGAATAAAACACTGTTTCTCTGCAGTAGAGACAAGGGCTGTAAACAATCATGGAATCTCCAAATGTCAGTTTCACTTGTCTACATTAAATGTTGGCGGAGTAGACCTCATCCGGCCAGGAACATCTTCCCTCATTCCTTTTCCTTATCATATATCAAGGTTGTCTAGGGGCAGAAACATCTTCCTTTCTCATAGCTTGCATTTCCCACAAGCTCTTACACCTGCCTGCCCTTTCCTAAATGCCACTGTGATGAATGAGTGCCAGAGGCAGCAGATGGGAAGCTAAGCTTTCCCTGCCTGCACTCTCTCATTAGCCAGTAGGATTTCTTGTTCCATCACGAACCCTCCACTCAGTTGATCACTAAACAGTCAGATACAGTGTGAGAGGCATTTGGTATTTGTTCAACACAAGGATCTGAATCAGAGATTACACAAGACTCAGCAGAAAACGATTTGTATATTTACTTACCACGCTTACTTAAACCTCAATCTTGAAAGTATTTTTGAGATCCACCTGTAAATACAATGCACCCATATCCCATCTTTCTTTTGTCCCAGTCTTGGCCTTTGGAACTTTATATTAGAAATGATGATATTCTCTATCCTTGCCCTAAAAAGTAGCTTCACCATGCCATAGGGCATATTAAATTCTGACTAAATTGAAAGGAATCCATCCTTGCAATTGTGTGAATATGCTCTATATTGTGGTGGTCATGCACTCCCTGAAAATAGCTTCCGATCATTCAGGGAATCAGTGGAGTCTTCATATTGTTCTCTTCTTTCCTACAGTGGCTTTCCTTTTGGTCATTTTGCTGCTCATTAGACTCCCCAGTTGGAGGCCAGGGGAAGAGAAGTAAAAATCAATTCTGTCTTTTCGGTGGTAATAGATAACAAAATAAGTGGTTATGTCCGTGGAGATAATGTGGAAGTCTCTGGTTATCGTGAGGCTTACAGATTAACTACAGATCAGTTATCCAGGCTCGCCTTAAAGCTGCATAGAGCTGGGATTGTCTATGTGGAGAAAAATATGCTTTATTGTTTATCACCTATTTTTGTTACTATATTGACTGTTTTTTTTTAAATCCAAGCATAATATGTAAATATAAAATAAGAACAAATTCTCTCCCCTCCTGCACTACCACTTCCAAGAAGTAACTACTTTGGCCACTCTCAGATCTCCAACTGGTGAGTTAAATTAATCCAAGTAATGTAAATGTATATCTCTACTATTACAGTTAGTAGTACCTATCAATTATGACATATATGGAATTTAATCCATTAAAACTACCTTTTTCTTCCTTTCTTACTGCTCATTTTATTAACATTTTAGCCCTTCCATTTAGTTATCTTTATACCTTTAAACAGTGGATTTGATTCTATATATAACATATACACATACAATATACTTAATATATAGTATATATAAGTATACATATATGTATCTACCTATCATCTATTTATCTGCATACCTATATCTTCTACAGATGTTATTTTTCACTCTTCATTGTGAAAAAGATGAGTGCCTATTACTTATCTATTCTTTGTTCATAGTCAATTATAAAAATTGAAGTTAACTGTACAGATATTATTAAGACTAAGCCATGTGAGTGGACCTGTGGAGAAGGTGACATTTTCTTTGTATCAAAAATCAGCCTATTGAAAAAGAGAATCTCTATGGAAACTTACTCTCCATCAATTGCTCCAAACCATGCCTCATTTTAGTTAGCTTCATATATATATTATGACTTTCAAGTAGAATTTAGTTAGTACTTTTTATGTTTTCCTTTTTGTTCCCTTTTAAATTTTTTTAATTTTTAACAGATTCAAATATTTCATAACTGCAAGTCTAAGAATACAATGATATTCCCTTCCTCTCTCCCTCTTGTTGTCTCTCCCTCTCCCATTCTTTCTTTTTTTAGTTTTTGAGATAATATATTTTTAAATTTACATTACAGCCAAGAGCTTAATGATCCACCAAATAAAAAGTTTAACACCTAAAAAGCAAGGATACTCCAGTTCAGGGGTAATATGGGTAAGGGCTATAAACAATAATCAATTGGAAAGATGACCATTTCACCCACATGCAGTAGATTCTAGAGTAATCACAGATCATTAAAATCATAGCAATATAGCATTATTGACCATTGGTTAGACAAAAGTATAAAACAAAGATTGGCAAAGCTATATTTGCTGATGCAGTTTTTTCTTTTTCAATTTTAGCTCCCATATATAAAGAACATGTGGTATCTGTCTTTCTGTGTCTGCTTATTTCACTCAGCCTGCTGTCCTACAGGTGCATCCATTTGGTTGCAAATGGTAGAATTTCATTCTTTTTATAGCTTAATATACCACATTTGCTTTATCTATTAATCTAATCTCATACTTGATTGATTCCATATTTTGGCTATATGAACAATGCTGCTTATAAACTTGGTGGTGCAGGTATCTCTTAGAAACAATGTGTTCCCTCTTTTGGATATATAACCAGAAGTGGGATTGTTGAGTCATATGGCAAGTCTATTTCTTATTTTCTACAAATCTCCATTCTATTTTCCATAGTGGCTCCACTAATTTACATCCCCACCAATAATTTACAAGTGTTCCACTTTCTCCACATCCTTACCAACATTTGTTACTCTGTGTCTTGGATCTTAGCCATTCTGACAGAGGTGAGGTAGTATCTAATTATGGTTTTGATTTGCATTTCCCTAATGGCTAGTGATGTTGAGCATTTTCCCCATATTTGTGGGCCATTTGTATTTCTTCTTTTGAGAACTGTCTATTGAGGTCCTTCTCACATTTCTTAATTGGACTGTGTTTTTGTTGTGAGTTTTTAAGTTGCAGATATATTCTGGACATTAATTCTTTGTTGGATAGGTAGTTTGAAATTTTTTTCCATTCTGTTGGAGGTCTCTGGACTCTGTGGATCATTTCCTTTGCTGTGCAGAAGCTTCTGAGTTTGATGTAATCCTATTTGTTCAGTTTTCCTTTTGTTGTCTGTGTTTGGGGATTTTATCCAAAAAGTTCTGTCCTACACCAATATCTTGGAGTGTCTCCCCTACATTTTATTCCAGCAACCTCATAGTCTCAGGTCTTAAATTTAGGCTTTTGATCCATCTTGAATTGACTTTTGTATAGGGTGACATACATGAATCTAATTTCATTCATATATATACACACACACACACACACACACACATATATATATATATATATAGTTTTGCCAGAGCCATTTGTTAAGGAGATTATCCTTACTCCAATGTATAGACTGAGCTCTTTTGTCAAAAATCAGTTATCTGTATGTATGTCTGGGCTCTCTAATCTGTTACACTGATCTATGTGTTGATTTTTATTCCAATACCATGCTGTTTTAATTACTATAGGTTTGTAGTATGCTTTGAAGTCAGATATTTTGATGCCTCCAGTTTGATTTTTCTGATTCAGGATCATTTTGGCTATTCTGGGTCTTTTGTGATTACGTATGAATTTTAGGATTGCTTACTCTAATTCTATAAAGACTGCCATTAATATTTGCATAGAGATTGCATTGAATCTGTAGATTGTTTTAGATAGTATAGACATTTAAATGGTATTGATTCTTCTAATCCATGACTAAGGAATATCTTTCCACTTTTTTGTATCCTTGCTGATTTCTTTTAGCAATGCTTGATAATTTGCATTGTAGAGATCTTTCACTTCTTTGGTTAAATGTATCCCTTAATACTTGATTGTGT